CCATGTGGTCACCTCCGGGGCAGGCAGGAATCGAACTCATGCAGAAGTGGCTTAAGCTTCTTAGTGCAGTGCTTTAACCTGCTGCGCTACCAGGGAGGGCCCCAGAAATCCTTTTTTTAAGACCTGTTTTAGGCTTGCTCTTTGGAAGTGTACAGATTCTAATACAGACTTAATTAACTCCTATTTCCATGCCAGTACCATCATGCCTAGCATCATGGTGAAAGAATGAGAGACCAGTGATTTGGGAGTATGGGATGTATAATAGACTTTCACTAAGAAAATAATAACATTTCTTAGGTCCTTTTGTTTTGTAGTAGTATCTTACCATAGGCATTTCTCATCTGGAAATACAACGTTGACTAGAAAGCAAAATATTTTAGATCTAGAATATCTTGGTCCTGTTGAATGTTACATTATCTCTTACTTTTGTAGAGACGCTCTCCTGGTCTGCGTTCTGACTCTTTGGAACAGAGCTTAAGGATCACTGTTGGTAATGACCACTTCTGTGTTGGTATACCCGAACGGCGGCGGCTAAGTGATCGACTTGGATCACCTGTGGATAATCTGGAGGCTGTGGAGAGGTAGGCTTTACCCTTCTCTGAAAAATGGCACACTGTTGAAATTGCTAAAAATAGAATTGTTGTTTTCTCAATGTTGTCTTTTGGGAGAAGGATGCTAGCACTGAAATTATGTCCTCTATACAAAGGATGATATTGGTAAAGGCTTTCTGAGTAGGAAGAATATATTGATATACCTTCTTTTGCATAAGAATTCATAGAAGGGAAGACATTAGTTTAGCAGATCGCTTGGTCTGGATGAAAAAGGACAACTGAAGGGACAGAAACAGAGTCCTCATGTTAAATATAGCTGTGATGATATAACGATTCTAAACTACAATTACTAAAGTTTACTTAACATTAAATGGGGAAAAATGGAAATCTTTTTTAAATGGTCTTTCAGCTTATAAGTTTTGAAATTGAGAATCAGAAAAGGCTTAGCTAAATTTATGTGTAAATTTTTAATATGTGTGTCTGTATTAAAAATATAAATGTTATTTATTTAAAATTAAAAAAAAAAGATGATTCATAGAGAACTGGGGTACAGGCCAGAGGTGCAGGGGCGGCAAGAGGCTTCACCAGAGACGGAGTAGGGAGCAGAACAGGCAAATTGATGAAGTACACTGCTGAGGGGAGCAGTGGGCGGGTCAGGAGAGGTCTGCCACGCCATGTGGGTCACCTCTGGGGCGGGGATCGAACTCTCACTGAAGGAGCTGTGGTCAACTTGTGGTACTGTGTCCTAACTCATTGCGCAGCCAGGGAGGGCCTAAACTTTATTTTTTTGAAGATTTATTTATACATACAGAACTGGGGTACATGCCAGAGGTGCCTGGGGGTGGTGAGAGGATTCACTAGAGACAGAGTGGGGAGCAGAAAAGGCAGATTGACTGAAATACACTGCTGAGGGGAGCAGCAGGGAGGTCAGCAGAGGTTCAGGAGAGGTCTGCCATACCATGTGAGTCACCCCCCTTGCTGGGGATTGAGCTCGTGCTGGAGTGGCTGTGATAGCTTCATAATGCTGTGCTTTAACCTGCTGAACCACCAGAGAGGGCCCAATATAAACTTTAATAGAAAGTTAGACATGTTTAAGTTCTATTTTACAATACAACTATTGAGTACTGAGAAAAGCCAGAAACATTCTACAGCTCATTAAATGTATATTTCATGTATTAGAAAATATGGGAAGTCGCATTAGTTTTTACCTCACAAATGTAAAAATTAAATACAAGAGTGTGGACAATGTGCATCTGAGAGCTGAAATTTGTGTCATGGTCTTGGCATGGCATTGGAAGTTTTCACTAACGATCACTAGTAACAGTGAGTCAGTAATCTTTCAAAGTGACTCTGTCTATGCATAGCATAAGCAGGAAGTTGGGGACAGCTGGGAAGGACCAGTACTGCCACTGGTGTATTTACTTCAGAGCTCCAGGCCTGTCCAGTTAATTAAAGCAGGACAGTCCTGGGTCACTTAACACTGACTTAGGAAATGCAGATAGGTGGGCTTAGGCTTCAAGGTTGTCACAGTATCAGTAAATCAGGAATAGCCCTAGCTCTTCTGCCTTTTTTTGGGAGATGACTGAATAGGCAGTCTGAGTATGTGGTGTATGATGTGATTCTCTTCCTTCCTTGATTAGGTTTTGAGATAACTACAGTATTTCCTCTTGTGAGGCCTAGGGTGTCACATCCCTTTTCTGTGTGTGCTTTCAGCAACCAGTTGTCTGTTTTGCATGTGAACTTCAGATAGCCAATTACCTGGTTATAAGTTACAAAAATTAAAATCTTAGTGAGTTTGGGGCAATAGTCTTCTGGAATCATGTATTTCAGAAGAGTCTATGTTAGAGAAAGTGAGATTAAGGTTCTAAAATCCAGGCCATTTTTTGGACTTTTTGCCTCCCACTCATAGGGTTTATGTGGATAATTCCTGTGTACTAAAGCCAGGCCACAGGAATGTTGGCTTCTCTGGACGTTTTGTGACTCCAGTCTTAGTTACACTTTTTGTATGTAGGTATGTGTTTATCTTTCCCTGGGACCTACTATCTTTCTCTTCTTTGATTGACTGTTAGACTTTATATCAGGCTTGGGGTATATAGCTGCATGTCAGGGTTGTCATTGACCTCATCTTGTTACCAGCCTTCTGTGTAGGACTGTAACTTACTCTTTAAGAAGAGGGAATGAATAGGCTGTGTGAAAACACTTGGCTTCTACAGTCTGGTAGATTGGGATGTGGATTTGCCTTGTTTATCAAAGTACTCTCTGCACATTACACTTTCATTCATGGAATTCTTACCTTCTAACTTGCCTTGAGAAAAGGTTGAAGGTGTAGAGTATTTTTCACATATGGTTTGCCTTAGGGGAAATCCATTCTTGGGGCATGCTGGGAATTAGCAGAGGAAAGGAATGGGAAGTTGGGGCTTTTAGCATACTTTTTTTCTTTTACTTTAGTCATAAACATTTTAAAAATTTTATTTATTTATACATACAAGAACTGCTGGGGTACAGGCCAGAGGTGTAGGGGGTGGTGGAAAGGATTCACCAGAGACAGAGTGGGGAGCAGAACTGGCAGATCTACTGAAATACACTGCTGAGGGGAAGCAAGACAGGATAGGTCTGCCATGCCATGTGGCAGGTCCTGGCCAACTGGGGATTGAACTCGGTGCTGCAGTGGGTGGTGATAGCTTGATAGAGCTATGTCTTTAACCAGTGTGCTACCAGGGACATCCAAAAAGAGTATTTTAGAAAGAGTTGGACTTCACAAGGTTACCACAGAGAGTCTGACACCAGACTGTCCTGGGCTCCAGCAGATGGGTCCTTCTTGAGGAGTCACTTCTACTATGTCCAGTTCTCTCTGGGGAAGGAGAGATAGGAGGATGTGAGCTTCTAATTGGCAACCTGATTTCTGTCTATATTTACATGATAGGTCATTTTTTAACAGTTTCTGTATTTTCTTTTAGTGTGTGTGTGTACGTGTTTGTACTTTCCTCCTCTTGCTGGTGACTACAATTCTGGGCGGACTTCTGAGAGCCATCACATTTTTTCCTAGCTCCCTATTATTAGGGCTGGATTAGACCTGGGGCTTGTCTGTCATTTGGTGGTTGACATATTAGAGTTCTAGTGGGGAGCTGAAAATGGGAGCATGGGTGAATTTGCTACTGCCATTGAGCCTGTTTTTTCCCTACAGGAATATGATCAGACACTTTGTGGTTGATGCTTGTGGAGTGACTGAACTCATCCATTCTTCCCTGCAATCAGCTGTGAGAATCCTACAGAGTAAAATGTTTTACTCTGCATGTGTTTAACTTTAGAGATTCTTGGTGCACTCTCATTCTTTGTTATTTCCTACTCCATCGATTCTTTAAAATCCTCCTGATTCATGAGGAGAAGATGAGTAATTTGAACCTGGATTCCCACAGGTGGCATTTATTACAGAGGTGTTGATAAAGTTGATGCTGCCTGGTCTTTCATGCAGTTACTCATCAGTATTGCTCAGATCTAAAACTTGGAAGACAGGCACTGCTAGAGGCTAGTAACAGAAGACAACTCTTGATACTCTTAGTCCCAGAGAAAGGAAATCAAGATAAAGAGCCATTTTTTGGAATCTAAAAAGCAAAAGCAGCTACTGAGTATCAACATATCTAACAGGTTTCCTGGTAATACTGATGCTGCTAGCAGCAAAAAGCTAGAATTTGGGTAGGGCAGAATTGTGTAGCCTGGGCTCTTTATAGTCTGCTAGTAATGTCTTCACAGCTTCTGGTACTTTGCATCCTCAATGTCTTGTCAAAGAGATGCGCCTAGGAAGTCCTTGGGGTGAATAGGTAGTAAATCCCCTTCTTAGAGACTGAAGCTGCTGTGGCCCAGGGAAAGGGCCTATGCTAGGTTTGTTCTTGGGCTCCATAATCACTGTCTGTGCCCAGAGATTGTATTCTGTGGCTTTGTTGCCAGATTGTTGCCAGTCTCTTTAGCCTGTCTGGTTTTTTTTTTTAAGATTTAATTTATTTACATATATATGGTATCTAGGATACCAACCAGAGGGTGAGAGGACCCACCAGAGACAGAGTAGAAGGCAGAACAGGTGGATCTACTGAAAAACACTGCTGAGAGGAGCAGTGGGCATGATGAGAGGTCTGCTGTACCATGTAGGTCACCTTCCTGGTGGGGATCGAACTGATGCTGCAGTGGCTTATAGTGCTTCACTTTAACCCGATGTGCCACCAGGGAAAGCCCCTGTCTACTCTTGCTCTTCCCACATCTATTATATTCCGTGGTGTTTGTCTTTCCTCAGGGATGACGTGACTGATGATTCTGTCTTCACTCGAAGCTCCCAGTGCTCTCGAGGTCTCGAACGCTATATTTCGCAGGAAGAGGGACCTCTCAGTCCCTTCTTGGGCCAGCTTGATGAGGATTACCGAACAAGAGCGGCTTTCATGCATCATTCTGACTACCGGGCCCATATGAGTTGTCACGATGAGCTGTTGCGGGGAGCAGAACGGAATCGAGACAAACTGAAAGGCTCCTACTGTGTCCGACCTGAGGAAAGGAGCCGGGAGGCCAAGCGGCCCCGCTACGACGACACGGAGAAGATACACGGCAAGGGAGATGATCATTCGAGCTACTCATCAGCGATGCGCAACTATCGGCAGCGTAGACGAAGCCCGAGCCCGAGGTTTCTGGACCCTGAGTTTCGAGAACTGGACCTTGCCCGTAGAAAACGAGAGGAAGAAGAGGAACGAAGCAGGAGCTTGAGTCAGGAGCTGGTGGAAGTTGATGGTGGTGGCACTAGCTGTCCCATCCCTGGATTGTCAGGTGTCTTACCGGCCTCAGAGCCAGCATTTTCTTTACACCGGCCTGAGGAAGGCTCTGTGATGCCCAAGAAGTCCATTCTGAAGAAGCGGATTGAGGTGGATGTGGAGCCTTCCATGCAGGTCTGCGTATTTCTTCAGGGTTGCTTGGCTAGGCCTCCACTACCTTAAAGCCTGCTTACTGTCTGGGGGTCTGTGTCCCTAAGGGTATGTGGGTAACGTGGGCTGCGACAACATTGTCATACTTAAGGGCTGCAACTCCCAGAACTGTGCAAAGCAGTCTGTCAGCCTCCAGGTGCATCCGTAGAGGGCTCTGTTGCCAGGGGTGGGCTCTCTCTCATCCCTTTTGGCAAGGATGTCGTGTAAGTTTGTTCTCCATGTTGGCTAAGCCTGTAGTTAGAATATAGGGTTTCTTGGGATGAAGCTTAGAGGGCATAGGGGGGAGTCAGTCTGAAACTCTCTCATCTCTCTTCAGAGAGAAGACAAAATGTGTGAGTGGGAGGACACTGGGCCAGAAATGAGGTGCTCCTGACTCTGGAGCCACCTCTGCCACTAAATTGCTGTGTGATATTTTGCAAATCACCTCACCATTCTGGGCCTTGATTTCTTTTCCCCCCTATTTATTAAAGAAATGATCCAGGGAGTGAACTGTCTCTAGGAATCCAAGGTGCTCTGTCAGTGCCTCAGGGAACCCTGGGAGGCTGGTCAGTTAGGTTTTCAGAACTTCCTCTCTGCTACAAGCAAAGCAGCTCCACTTTTGATTTTTTTTTTTTAAGATTTATTTATTTATGCATATAAGAACTGGGCCAGAGTTTCAGGGGGGTGAAAGGATTCACTGGAGACAAATGGGGAGTAGAAGAGGCAGATGCACTGAAATACACTGCTGAGGGTAGCAGGGGGTAGGTCAGGAGAGGTCTGCTGCGCCATGTGGGTCACCTCCCTGTCTTCAGATAACTTCATAGTGCTGTGCTTTAAGCTGTTGTGCCACCACAGAGGCCCACTTTTTTTTTTTTTTTCCCAATCATTGTTTGTTTTTACATCATTTTGTGCCTTTTCCATCCCCATGGGCTTCCCATCATCAAATCACCCATGTGGGCCCCACTTTTAATGTTTTTCTTTTGGTGATTCATAGAAAAGAAAACGAGCTTGGAGCATCTTTCAGAACTTTGTATCAGTTTCCTTGATGAGGTTTACAATAAATAGGCAAAAGTAAGGTTTTTACCCATTGTACCTTATTTTCTCTGCTATAGCAAGAACATCTGGAGAGAAGAGTACCCAAATTCTGAACCTGACTATAGGTTCACTGTCTTTTTTTTTTTTCAAACTTATTTATTTATGCATACAGAACTGGGGTACAGGCCAAAGGTACAAGGGTGGCAAGAGAATGATTCACCAGAGACAGTGGGGTACAGAACAGGCCAACTGAGGAAGTACACTGCTGAGGGGGGCAGTGGGCGAGTCAGGAGAGGTCTGCCGTGCCATGTGGATCTCCTCCGGGGCAGGCGGGGATCGAAGTCATGCGGAAGTGGCTTTAGCTTCTTAGTGCTGTGATTTCACCTGCTGCACCTCCAGGGAGGGCCCAGTTCATTGTCTTTTAATCCTTCATTTTCCTACTAATTTAAGACTAAGTATTTATCTCATTGGTATTTTTCTGAGATTCTTTATAAAGCCTAAATTAGTATGTTTGTCTTTTCAGCTTGAGAGTTTTTCTAGCAATACCAGTTCCAGTCAGGATCATCCACTATACTCTGCACACTCATCCCTTCCACTAAGTGGTGCAATTGCTGCTTTTGCCTCAGAGGTTGAAGACAACAAGGGAACTATGGTAGACACTTCCTTGAAGGAAGCTTCATGTAACCCTTACCAATGGGGTCCTCTCCCTGGGCTGCCCAAAGACAGTAGTCCTCTTAGAGAAAAGTTTGGAAGTTTTCTCTGCCACAAAGAGAAATTGGATATGAAGGCTGATGGTCCTGAGCGCCACTCTGACTTTTTACTGCCCCATGAGAGAGCTAGCCAAGATGGCAGTGGATTTTCTCGTATTCTGAGTATGTTGGCTGATTCTACCAGTACACAAGAAAAAAGGCGACGTAGTTTTCCAGACATTGAAGATGAGGAGAAATTTCTTTATGGGGATGAAGAAGAGGATTTAAAGGCAGAATCTCCACCAAAGTCCCTTGGGGTGTCTGAGAGTGAAGTTATGAGGCAGAAAGCAAGCTGCCCACCTTCTCCAATTCCCAGTATAAAGCTAGAATCTAGAGAAGAGATTAACCCGGAATATGCTAAGATTCATGATTTGCTCAAGACCATAGGGCTGGATATTGGAGTAGCAGAGATTAGTAAACTAGCTGTACGTACCCAAGAGCGACTTCATGGCAAGAAGCCATCACGTTCTTCAGCTGATCGTCGTTCTTCAGTTGATCACCACTTTTCAGCGGAACGCTGTTCCTCAGTTGACCATAGATTCTCAGCTGATCGATGTTCCTCTGATCCTCACAGACTGGAGAACCGGGAAGTACACCATAGCAATACTCATTCCCCAGAAGTGTCCCATTCACACCCAGTCTCCCCAGTGGATCCTTATCTTCTCACCAAAAAAAGTCCACCATTCCTAAAGTCTGACCATTCAGTGGGCATCATTGCAGGACCAGATGTGGTTGGCAGTGGGTTTCAGTCATCTGTTGCAGTCAGATGTATGTTGCCATCAACTGCATCCACCCCAGTTAGACTTCCACACCCTGCTTCTTTATCTCAGTTTCATATGCCAAGGGCCTCTCAGTTTGCTGCCGCTCGTGTACCTCCAAACTACCAAGGATCTGCCATTCCCTCTGCCTCATTTGATGCCTACAGGCACTACATGGCATATGCAGCTGCACGGTGGCCCATGTACCCCACCTCTCAAACATCAAACCTTCCTCTCTCTGAACCACACAGAGTGATTCCAGTCTCCAAACAAACTACTCGTAGCCGTCCCAATCTCCGTGTGATCCCCACTGTGACTCCTGATAAGCCCAAGCAGGAGTTGTCAGTGTTAGGAGCAGTTCCTTCTGTCCAAGTGCCTGTCCAAGTGTCTATCCCATCACTCATAAGATATAATCCAGAGAAAATCTCTGATGAGAAGAACCGTGCTTCCCAGAAGCAGAAGGTGAATATTACCTTTTGGTATCTTAAATCTCTAAGTCTTCTTCTTCTTTTTTTTTAAAGATTTATTTATTTATGCATATAGAACTGGGTACAAGCCAGAGGTATAGGGGTGATGAGAGGATTCACCATAGACAGAGTGGGAGCTGAACAGGTAGGCTGACAAAGTACAATGCTGAGGGGAGCAGTGGGCGAAGCAGGAGAGGTCTGCTCTGTCATATGGGTCCCTCCCTAGCCAGGGATCAAACTCATCTGAAGCAGCCACGGCTAGCTTCCTGATGCTGTGCTTTAACGTGTTTCACCAGGGAGGACTTCAGAGACACTGTTTAGAGACTTGGTGTTTTTTCTTTATTTTTCCTTTGAGAACTTATTATTTGTCAGGCCTAATAGTACATAGATCATTACAGATAAGTCCCTATTTTGTTTTTTCTATTATTTAGTAGTAATACATTTGAAAGCTCATGAACTTTAAACTATACATGGATTTAGAGTCTTATGTGATCTTGGATGTATTATGTAATCTTTACTTTTTTAGATGTATTTATTTATGCAAAAACGGGTGTAGGCTAGAAGTACAGGGGTAAGAGGATTTACCAAAGTGAATCCCCAAAGTGGGGAGCAGAATAGGTGAACCTACTGAAATACACTGCTGAGGAGAACAGCAGGCGAGACAGGAAAAGTTTGGTGCATCATGTTGGTCACTTTTCTGGCTGGGGAATCAAACTCATGCTGCAGTGGCTATGGATAGCTTCATAGTGCTACGCTGTAACCCCTTGCGCCAGCAGGGAGGCTCTTACTTAGTCTTTAATAACCTCAGTTTTCTTACTGTAAAATAGAGATACTGTCATACGGATTAAATAAAGTGATATATGTAATGTGTGTCACCCATAACACGTATTAGTTCCTGTGTTGATAGTTTTCCTTTGGACACAACCACTACACTTAGTGGCTATACTAATGTGTATGAGCAAACCGTAAGGCTGTATTTGTAAGTAATTGTATAAGAAGTTATTTTAATTTCTGTTCTTTGGAAAATGTAAGTATCCCAACAAAGGGTTTTGATGTAGATTTTTTTTGCACCCATGCTCTTGATTGCTAAATGTAATCATCTCATCTGTCTCTGAACAAATGTCTTAAAGAGTGGCTATCAATAGCTTTATGTTAATATTAATAGTATAGTGCTTCCTGCATGAAATAGTCCTTTCTGGACAATGTCACTCTGTAAAGAATAATTCTATTATGGAACTTAGATTGAGATGAACTATTGCTTTGACAATTAAGAGCTGTTCAGGCATTTGAATCCTTGCATTCAGATATTATCTTGCATGAGGGATCAGGGAAGATAGGGAAGAATTTTAGCACTGGAGAACTCTTATTATCCTACACTTTTCAGGTTATTGAAGAAAGGGAAAAACTAAAGAGTGACCGGGAAGCTCGTCAGAAGAAGATGTACTATCTCAGAACTGAGTTGGAGCGACTTCATAAACAGCAAGGTATCAGTCACTTCTTTGCATGAGTAGGAGATCAAATTGAGAACTTTGGGGATCCTTAGACAAGTTTGGTGACCAGAAGCCTCACTTCAAACAAAAAATTTTTTAAAGACTTATTTATTTATATATATAAGGACAGGAGCGTAGGCTAGAGGTGCACGGGGTGAGAGGACGCACCAGAGACAAGAATGGGGAGCAGAACAGGTAGGTTAACTGAAATACACTGCTGAGGGGAGCAGTGGGCGAGACAAGAGAGGTCTGCTGCACAAGGTGGGTCATTCCATGACCAGGAATTGAATTTCTGCCGCAGTGGCTGCGAATAGCTTGATAGCACAAGACTGAACCCCTACTCCACCAGGGAGGCCCATTTTAAGTTTTTTTGACAGAGACTTTCAGAAAAATTGAAATAATAGTGATAAGAACTGTCAAATATTCTTCACAGTTCTTAACATTCTGCTATAAATGGTTTCTGATTTGATGGTTTAACTTAATTTTTTCAGCTTTACTGTGGTGCAAATGCAATATAAATTCTGTGGAAAGTTTACTTTGAATTTTGTTCTTTCCTAGTCTAGTGATATGTATGGTATGATACTCATGTGGTAATGGGCAGCAGTGAGCTGTGTAGCTCAGTCATGTTCAGAAAGGTAAATAACTGCTATTCTATAATAGGACTGTTTTTCACTTTCAGTACAATATTCAATAAAATACACGAGATAATTCAACACTTCACTATTGTATTCCATAAAATATATGAGATTGAATACATGTATATATTCAGTAAAATACAGGAGATATTCAGCATTTCACTGTAAAATAGACCATGTTGATGATTTTACTTGACTATCAGGAAGTGTGAGTGTTCTGACAATGTTTAAGATAGGTTAAGTTGAGCTATGACTCAGGAATTGGGTGTATTAATGCATCTTCAAACAGTGATATTTTCAATTTACAGTGAGTTTATTGGGATGCAACTTTATTGTGAGTCAAGGAAGATCTGTGCACTTGATCTGTGTCAGTTTTTGTCCCCCTCTCCTTCCACTATATATTTATATCTATAATTCTTCAACTCTTTAAGAGTAAGTTGTAGGTATGGTGATTCTGTATTCTGAAATAGTTCAGTGGTATCCTAACAACAATTCCACTTGCATAATTGTGGTATTCTTATCAAAATTAGGAAATAAACAGGAATACAACTCTAGATTAGTGATCATATTCATACTTTACCAGTTGTCCCAATAATGTCCAAAAGCACAAGAAAATACAGATTTATGTGTTGTATTAATTTACCATGTTCATTTAGTTTCCTTTAATATATAATAGTTCCTGGTGGCCTAGGGTTAAGTCTCAGTACCATCACCTAGATGGCCCACTGAGATGGCCTGAGGTGGGCCAGGGAGCTAACCTACATGTGGCACAGGAGACCTCTCCAGTGTCACCTGCTGCTCCCCTCAGCAGTGTATTTTAATACATATATCTTCTGCTCTGCTCTCCACTGTCACTGATGAATCTTCTCACCACCCACACCTCTGGCCTGTACCCACTTCTATGCAAAAATAAATAAAATCTTTAATAACAATTTAAAAAAGATTTATTTATGTATACAGAACTAGGGTACAGGCCAATGCAGGGGAATGAGAGGATTCACCAGAGACAGAGTCGGGAACAGAACAGGCAGATTGACTGAAATAATACTGCTGAGGGGAGCATTGGGTGGATCAGGAGAGGTCTGCTGTGCCATGTAGATCACCTCCCTGGCTAGGGATTGAACTGGTGCTGCAGTGGCTGTGGTAGATTCTTAGTGCTATGCTTTAACCCATTGTGCCACCAGGGAGGGAGGGCCCTTTAATAATAATTAAAAAAAATTCTTAAATCTATTTCACGACACTGACAACTTAGAATAGCATTTATAGAATGCCTTTGAGTTTTGGTTTGTCTTGTGTTTCTTTTTGATTAAATTTAAGTTTTGCATTTTTGCATAACACAGGGAAAAAGTTGGCCATAATATCAGACAAATGATTGACTTCATATCAGGTGTTGATTTTACTACTGGTAATGTCAACTTTGAATATTGACTAAGGTGGTGCCTGCTATTTATTCCACTGTAAAATTAATATTTTACCTTTTTTTAATTGATAAGTATCCTAAAGGAGAGATATAATGGGACTATTTAAATATCTCACCATTCCTCAAACTTCTGCCTGCTTACTTTAGCATTCATCAATGTATCTTACCTATGTCAGTTATTAATATGATGGTTGTTAAATAATGATTTTCCAATTTTATTATCACTTATTGACTTTCTGTAAGGAGAAACTTTCTACCATCTCCTTTTCTCCTATTATCTGTATTTGTGTAAATTCACTGATTTTTTCATTCAGGAGGTTGTATTTTATTGCCTTTTTTTTTTTAAGATTTCTTTATGCATACAGAAATGGGGTACAGGCCAGAGGTGCAGGGGTGGCAAGAGGATTCACCAGAAAAAGAGTGGGGAGCAGAACAGGCTGACTGTCGAAGTACACTGCTGAGGGGAGCAGCAGGCGAGACAGGAGAGGTCTGCCGCACCATGTGGGTCACCTCCGGTGCAGGGTTGGGGGGGGGATTGAATTCACACTGAAGCAGCCATGCTTGGCTTGGCTTAGTTTCACAATGAGCGCACTCCTGTAACCTGCTGTGCCACCAGGGAGGGTCCTTATTGTCATTGTTTTTTTGTTCACATTAACCTAGTTTTGGTCAGCCTTTCAAAGTTGATTCTTTGTCCTTTTGATATGTCCCCACCATCTTTATATTACTTTCTTTGGCATGAAAAGATGTTCCATGATGCCTCTTTTGATCCCATTCTTCATCTTTCCTTTTATAAATTCACATAAATAATGAGAAAAGACTGTAACAAAGCCAAATACTCAAGCATGATGATAGCATGGAAGGAACAGAGTGTGGGAGAAAATTTCTCATACCTGGGTTTGGAATCTTTAGAGATGAGGAATTTAATCATTAATCCTGTGATTAATCCTCATTAATTCTTGATATTTGAATTTTGGAATAGGAGATAATATTAGGTGAGCCTGATTTAAAACCAAAAACTCAATGTAGGAGTTGGTGTAATGTCCTTTAATCAGATAAAGTATATGAATGAATGTTTTTTCACTTTCTGAATAATTCTTTGGTTCTCTGAAGGACAGCCACTAAATTCGTAATACCTTTTTGGAGGACACATATACAAAATTGTATATGCAGCTTTGGGGGGTTAGTGGAGCTCATAAACTGTGTCAACAGATCCTTAGCTAATTATACTTACATATCCTTTAATTCCATAAACACTTCACCTAAACCAGTCCATGTAGAGAAAGAGTTTCACTAACTCTTAATAACTTACTTGGGAAAAGAGTTTGTGATCATAAAGGCTTATGAGATCACTATGAACAGTATGTTCTTTGTGTTTAACTTTTTTGTGTTTCTTTTTGTGCTTTTTGAATACTCAGGGGAAATGCTGCGTAAGAAACGAAGAGAAAAAGATGGCCACAAAGACCCACTCCTGGTGGAGGTGAGTCGGCTTCAGGACAACATTATGAAGGATATTGCAGAACTTAGACAAGAGGCAGAGGAGGCAGAAAAGAAGCAATCTGAATTGGACAAAGTAGCTCAGATCTTGGGAATTAACATTTTGGATAAATCACAGAAAACATCAAATGACAGTAAAGAACCTACGGAGAAGCCTGGGAAAGCAGAAAAAACTAAGAGCCCAGAAAAAGTGTTGTCATCCTCTTCCAACAGCAAGGTAACAACTTTTCCATTTCTATTATACCTTTTATATCCACTGATTCTTTGGAAACTTTCTAACTAACCATTTTCTTAGCTTCTTTTCCCAAGCTTTTCTTACTTTTGTTTTCTTAGGCAGAGATCAGATTATGGAACTACACTTCAGAATTTTAATAGTTTCCATTTGCCACATAGTAGAATCCAAAATCCTCAGTGTTCATTCAGTGCCCTCCATGTTCCTGTTCTACATTTACTTTTTTTTGGAAGTTTTTTTTTAAAGATTTTATTTCTTTATTTGCACACAGAACTGTGGTACAGGCCAGAGATGAAGGGGCAGTGAGAGGATTCACTAGACAGAGTGGGGAGCAGAACAGGAAGATCAATGACATACACTGCTGAGGGGAGCAGAGGGCGAGACAGGAGAAGTGTGCTGCGCCATGTGGGTCACCTCTGGGCCTGGGGATCGAACTCATACTGAAGCAGCTGCAGCTCGTTTGCAGTGTTGTGCTTTAACCCACTGCGCCACGAGGGAGGGCCCTGAAAGTTTTTTTTTTAAGATTTATCTATGCATACAAGAACTGGGGTACAGGTCAGAGGTTGGGGGAGAGGTGAAAGGATTCACCAGACACATAATAGGGAGGAGTACAACAGGGAGACTGATGTGATGAAGTACACGGCTGAGGGGAGCAGTGGGCTAGAAAGGACAGGTCTACTGCGTCATGTGGGTCACCTCCCTGGCTGGGGATCAAACTGGTGCTACAATGGCTTCAGTCAGCTTCATAGTGCTGTGTTTTAACTCACTGTGCCACTCCGGAGTGCCCTCTACATGTACTTTTCAGCCCACTCCAGGATGGCTTCTGGCCTCACAATTTTGTATATACCACTTTGGGAATTCATATTTAGCAGCAAAGTCATTAACATGTTGCTAAAATCAGTGAATAAAAATACATTTCAGTTCTCAAATCAGTATTGATAAAGGGACCCACCGTCTTTCTTACCTCAGGTTCTGTCATACTTCTTTTTTTCCTCGGGTGCTGACTGCTACTGCTTAGATTTCTTTGGTGCCCTATTCATTTGTACCAGATCTTTAAATATTTTAGTTATTTAGGGCTCAGCCCTAGCCCAGTTCTCCAGAGTTCTGCTTACTCTTCAGGTGGTTTCACCCACTTTTATGCTAAACTGTCATGTTGACAATTTTCGGTTTTATTTTCTAGCTCAAATGACTCTTCTACACTTAATTACCCAAAGATTAGCCCATTCGAAAATTATTTCATAATAATCTTGATCTTAAAATCATCATAAACTAATCTAATTGTGCTTGTGCTTGATCTGCCCCTAACTCTTTCTGCCTCCATTTTAAGAAATGGCAACAATAGTTTTTATGGCCAGCAATCAAAAAATTTAGTGCTTCCCTCTTCCTCCATGCCAAATCAATTATAAATTTGGCCAGTTTCTCCTGTCAGTAAAACTTAGTTGTGCCCATTTCACTGTCTCTGTTCAAATTCAAGCCACCTTCAATTCTTGTTGTATTGCTATACTCTTTTTTTTTTTTTTTAAAGATTTATTTATTCGTACATACAGAACTGGGGTACAGGCCAGAGGCTCAGGGGCGGTGAGAGGCAGAGTGGGGAGCAGAACAGGCAGATCGAT